GAGCTTCAGCTTTCAAAGTAAATGTAAAGACAGAGCCTGAAAGGGGAACAGAGTCGCGTGACAGACACAGTGATGAAGCTGGTATGTGTTTGCAGTACACAAGCCACGGTTAAGACAGCTGACTCCACTGTGATGTGACCCTGTCTCTCTCTCTCTCTCACACACACACACACACACACGACGCGTTACTCTGCGCTGCGCAAAACTCCGCATTTGAACAGTCGGTAGCAAATACTTAAACTAATAACAAAACAGTAGCTGATTCTGAAGCGCCAGATTGTCATAGCAAAGTCGGAATTTACCCTTTTTTTCCCTTTTTTTTAGAAATAGCCTTTGTGCACAGCCAGCCTTGTACTCTTCTAGGTTAAAAAAAAACTGTCGTCCATAAAATGCGTTGCACAAATTCGAACATCTGGGTTGTGCTGTTCTGTTGTAAATAAATCTTAACCAATGATTCCTAATTGCATCTACTTCTGGAAGGCCAAATAAAGTGCTTTTGCTTTCGCACTGAAACACACAGCGTCTCCCTGACATGCTGCTTCAACACTAAAACTGTGGTTAGTGAAACCACGCCTTCTTTCTTTGCGTGATCATTTGGGCGCATTATGCAAATATTTCCACATAGTGGGGTAGATATGTGGGGGCGTGTTAGAATGAGCCGTTTTAGGGGGGCGTGGCAGAGTCTTAACTTTGATAAAGAATATCTCTTTGGTTTTGAGACTTTAGTCTTTGCAACTTCAGGGATCTTATCTATGCACAATCAGCTTGTAACACTCCAAAGAGAAAGGAAAACTTGAAATCGCATCATATGTCCCCTTTAAAGAACCCTTCACCTTGAATTAGGCCAGGAAGGGCATGCGCTAGATCGTGGCAGGCCTGTTTTCCAGAAGGAACATGCATACTTCTTCTGTATTTAATTTTTTCCTTTTAGTTGACCTCTGACCATAGCTGTGACTTTGCTGTGCTAGATGTAGCTTTTTCACACACGCTAGACAGCCAGCAACGGTGGTCTGTTTACTTTTTTTTTTCTTATGAGACTATGACAGCAAAACTAAATAAATAAATAAAAAGTAAACTCTAATGGCATATATTTGTGTAAACTCTGATATATATATATACTTCTGATTACTGTTGAAAATATTTGCTCAGGATTTTTTTCAGGATTCTTTTATGAATATAATGTTCAAAAGAACAGCATTTATTTGACATAGAAATATTTTATAACATTATAAATGTCACTTATTAACTGTCACTTTTGATCATTTTAATGTGTGACTACTGAAGAAAAAAAAAAAACGTACCCCAATGTTCATTCATACTATAAACAAGTACACGCATTTGAGTCAAAGAGAGAGACAGAAAATAAATAAATAAATCTCATTTTGTTGTTTGCCTGAATAAAACCTAAATGTCTCACAGATTGTTCAGAAATATACCTCACTCAGAGTCTCATCAAGTTAGGGCATGACGGCTGCCAACATCAACATCTGTGCTGCTTTGTCATTTTAGGTGTGAAATTCCATATCTAGGACAATGTGGAATATCTCACCCACAAATTAAAATACATTCTTGTCTTTCCAAACCCACATGACTTTCTTTCTTCCACAGACCACAAAATAAAGAATGTCCAAGTTGCTCTTCGTCCAAGTTCATCTAACTTTGTCTACATTGAAAGTGAGTGGCTACCAGGGACTGTCAAAAATGACAAAAGGACAATAGAAGTGATCCCCATGATTCATGCGTTATATTTGAATGTCTTCTGACACCATTTGATGGATTTGTTAGAGAAAAAGACTGAAAATTCAATTATTCACACTAATAATCTAAAGTGCAGCTTTCAAATCTAATTTATATTGTGTATATTCAAATATAAGCGCAAAGGCATATTTTTTAAATATTGGTCGTTTAGTTTCAAATAAGTTAAAATATAGTGCCTAAGAAATATGAACTGCTTTAAAGGTACACTACAGGTTTGGAATAATTGAGATTTTTTTTTTTTTATAAATGTTTTTGAAAGTAGCCTCTTATGCTCAGCAAGGCTGCATTTATTTGATTATTATTTTGAAGGATTGTGTGACACTGAACAAATTAAGCTTTCCGTTACAGGAATAAATTATATTTTAAAATGTATTAAAATAGAAGACAGTTATTGTAAATTGTAATAATATCTCACAGTATTGCTGTTTTTACTCTATTTTGAGAGGCTTCTTTCAAAAAATTTAAACATTTTAATTATTCCAAACCTTTGACCGATAATGTATTTTTATTGTGCTTTTTGGTACTTGACAGTACCAATGGTCTCCATTCACTTTCAATTTAAAAGAGTAGTGCAAACATCCTGCCAAATATCTCCTGTTGTTCAAGTCATACAGTTTTGTGAGTAAATGATAAGATCATTTTGGGTGTGTTATTCCTTGAACATCTCACTGCAGTGTACCTCTATCTGAGAAGCGTGAAATGGCTGGAGATGCTCATGGAGGCTCCACTGGCGGATAGCTGTAGACTCGGGCTGCTACATGTGGACAGGCTAGCAGAGAGCAGAGACTCGATGCATTGGCCCAGGAACATGAGAGTATCTGGGTCTCAGAGCCAGGACTGACAGCACTGCAGATTTTGGAGCTCCATTCACCTGTGAAAGGAGAAAGGGAGGAGGGACATTTACACGAGACACAAAGCATGTCTGTCTGGATTTTTCGCCTCTTGGGACAAGAAGGCCAATGCATTTCCAGAACAAAAACAAGAGCTAGACAGTGCCCCCCTTTTTTTTCAAATCACAAAACAAATGGAATGAAAAAGAAAATGGAATGCGGCAAGAGCGAGGACATTAATAACGACCCAGAAGTGTCACGCTGTTTGAACGTTCCTACCATCACTCTTGATAATAGCTGCCATAGGCAATATATTTAGCTCCATTTTCTTTGAAGACAAATCCTTGTTATTATTTCAAGTGTTTCTTTTACAGTTGTCTGCCTCTTGCATTGCTGGTGGTTACAGCTGTTATTTTTTATTCTCTAAATCAATGCCACTGCACAAACAAATGCTGCTTAAAACAGCACAGGTTTTTTTTCTTTTTTTCTGTGGATTGCACCATTTTAATTACGTCTTTCAGGGTGAATATGCTGTAGGAGTTAAGTAAACTGTGCTGGTGTTTGTTGAGCTTGTGTTTGAATCTCACGAAAACTCAAAAATATGACTCATATTTTAGGGCCATTACGATTTTAATTTTTTTGCATTGTGACACTGTTTTCATGACAATTCTTATTAAACATAATGGCAAAAAATCTGTTGACTCAAATGTAACAGCATTTTCCAATGACAATTTATAAATTATGAATATTTGTCATGAAAATAATGTCACAATGCAAAACAATATATATGTTACGGTATTACATTAATACAAAAATCGGAACAGATTTGGAGAAATTTACCATTACATCACTTGCTCACCAATGGATCCTCTGCAGTGAATGGGTGCCGTCAGAATTAGAGTCCAAACAGCTATTAAAAACATCACAATAATCCACAAGTAATCCACACGACTCCAGGCTATCAACTAATGTCTTGTGAAGTAAAAAATTGCTTGTTTGTAAGAAACAAATCCATCATGACATTAATTGATGGACTAGAGTTACTTATGGATTATTGTGATGTTTTTCTCAGCTGCTTTAACTCTCATTCTGACGGCACCCATTCACTGCAGAGGATCCATTGGGGAGCAAGTGATGTGATGCTAATTTTCTCCAAATCTGTTCTGAAGACGAAACAAACTCATCTACATATTGGATGGCCTGGAGGTGTCACGATTCGCTGTGGGAGGAACGAGAGCGAAACGAGGAGTACAGGCAAAAGTATTTAATCCAGGAATCACAGGTAATCCACAACAGGAACACGGGAAACACACAACATTCAACAAGTAGACACAACAGAGGAGAAATGCACAGACAAGAACTTATAAACACAGGGCAATTAGCAAACACAGGTTCACAGAATGACTAATTAACTAAACAAGGACAGGAACGTGACCAAATAAGGGAACACAGGAACAGAAACAGGGGCAAAACATAACAGCGGCGGAGCAGGTGGTGGAGGAGCCCGAGGCGGAGATGGAGAACCAACGAGCCATGGGGATGCCGAGGATCCGGGGGACCAGGGTGGAGCCGAGGGCTTTGGCGACCAAGGCGGAGGCGGAGATCCGCGGCGGAGCCGGAGGGACTGAGGACCAAGGTGGAGCTGGCGGGAGGAAGTAGCCCAATAGAGCCGGTGGGATGGAGCAACGAGGTGCAGCCGGAGGAGCGGAGTCCTGAGGATGATGGCGGGTCGACGCCCGACCAAGGCAGAGCCGGAGGGAACAGTCTGGTATGGTCCCCGAGCGAGCACTCCCCCTGCTCCAGCAGGAGGGGGAGGAATTTGGGCCGAAGGAGGGGATCCATTAGGGCACACCACGGAAACAAAAACACTGAGAGAAAACCGGAAAACAAAACGGAGGGTAGACAAACGGAGGTTACTGTTTTTGGTCGGTTCTTCTGTCACGATTCGCTGTGGGAGGAATGAGAGAGAAACGTGGAGTACAAGCAAAAGTCTTTAATCCAGGAATCACAGGTAATCCACAACAGGAACACAGGAAACACACAACATCCAACAAGTAGACCCGACAGAGGAGAAATGCACAGACAAGAACTTATAAACACAGGACAATTACCAAACACAGGTGCACAGAATGACTAATTAACTAAACAAGGACAGGAGCATGACCAAATCAGGGAACACAGAAACAGGGGCAAAACATAACAAAACAGGTCCATGATCCTGACAGGAGGTGAGTACATTTTGAGTAAATTTTCCTTTTTTGGCTGAACTGTTCCTTTAACTTCCACTCCCCCATCACAACTTCCATTTCATTTTGAGCTGTCAAATGCTTCCAGACTGTTTTAAAATGTGGAGTTTTGTCAAAATGCTGTTTGGTCTGAATGCAATGATAAATTGTATATATTTTATAAATTTGATTGTATGTATATATTTTATTGTGTATACAAAAGGGCTTTTGTGGCGGTTTGCAATTATGGCTTAAGTTGTTTAGTTTTTTTCTAAATATGCAATAAGATTTGCTGTTCTCTCTGTCTTTTTATTCTCCCTCTCTCTCTCTCTCTCTCTCTCTCTCTCTCTCTCCTAATCTCTTGTTTTCCCACCCTGATGATCTCTCCACTCCACAAACCTAATTAGAACTTCTTAATTAGACATGTATGTCCCTTACTGGGAAGAAAGCCAAGCTGAAATCCTCTTACTCAGATATTGTATGATTTTGTGCAGACGCGATGGTGTGCACATTTTGTTCCTTGAATAACTATTTCTATTACTGGGCATTTCTTCAGCTATGGGCACTTTTGGCCTTGTGGACAAAAATAATCTTAAAACAGATTTCCACACTCTCACTAGTTTACTTACAATGTCCATTAGACATAGAGTCACAGGAGCATTGTCTTTTTTTTTTTTTGAACATACAAATGTAATTTCCACCATATATCAAATAATGTATTGTGTTTGATAGCATTCTGTGAGGTTAATGACAATAAACTTTTTTTTTTTGAATAGAAATAGCCAATGACTAGGCTCTATATGTTTAACTAAGACTAATTTTATTTAATGTATTTTAAGTGCACTCTATAATTTGTTTGATTTGTCTTTATTCTCTTTCTATTCTCTTTCTATTTGTGTTAATTATAAAATGTTTGTCATGGACGAAATTATGTCACAACTGCATCGTGGCACATTGCTGCCACATACATTTCCACTCAGTTATGTCATAATAACAGTATGTTGTCATTTAAACAATATATTTTCCCTTAATAATGAGATGTTATGTCTTTAAGTTACATATTTTCTCATAATTGTTATTTTCTTATAATAGCATTATTATGAGAAAATATATTGTTTTAACAAGAAAAAAATAAATTTTTACAACATAGCTTCTCACTATTATGAGAAAATGTATTTTGTAGCAAGAAAAATGTTTTAAGAACAGCATCACGTTATTAAGAGAAAATATATTGAAAACAAAGGGAAAAAAATGTTTTAATGACATAGCATCTTGTTATGCCATTAAAACAACATTTATTAATATATTTTAATAATGGAAGCTTGGGTCTGGGACAAGGGTAAAACAATTAAATGTAATATGCTATAATATATTTAATATATAAATATAAGGCACTTGAAAGTAACAAAAATAAATGATTACAACATGGTAAAAAAATACTCAACAGTTTTAATGCGACCTTCATATAACAGAAAAAGGGAAATCTTATTAACTTAGTTTTAATAAAAATGAACCCAGGAAATAAAATTACCTATATTTGATAAAACACTCTATTCTGGTTTGCACCTTGGGGGAAAACACAATCATGTTGCATAATCTAAAACGTGTGCCATCATTGATCTTATGCGTCAAAGATGTATATGCCTCTTGCAGGAGGAATATATGCTGACTCCAAAGCTGATAGAGCAGAAGTTCAGCTTAACAATGCAATATCCTCTCATCACACCGGCTTTAGATCACAAAGCCCCCCCCGTGTATGACACAGGGCACAGATTATTGTCTATGTACATGGCCGTTCTCTCCTCAGCGCATCGTCAGAATGAGCCCAGCTGCCTGGGGAGAACAGGCGTCTCTTTATAAAGACTCTGACTCACTTTTGGCCTGTCCTCAGTGACTCTGTGTTATCCGCCCGTTCTGTTGAGCCCCAGCGTGAGGTTAAAAAGACAGAGAAGCAAAGAGCTGCGTCCAATATTCTCGTGTTGTGTTACGGCGCCGTCTGATCATTCCATTACCAACCACAGCACTTACGTATTAACGGCTGCCACAGATTGCTGTTCTGAAGACAAAGGTCATTATTTCCTGTTAGTTCCTCTCTTTTGCTTTGAAGTGAAAGTTTCTTTCACAGAAGCATTAGCATCTACTGCTGGTTGCACACTGTATAGTATTTGCCACAATTTGGCCAAATGAAACAAATTTCAGAATGTCTTTCATCATAGAGCAAAACCCACCATCTTAAACACTACATGAGTGAGAATCACACACTATCAGACTTTCGGGTCATTCAGAACACAACAAAAGTCATGTAGAAACTCAAATTAAATATGCAGAAGTCTCTGACTTTACAACTAGCGTTGACTCGTCCAGACTGTAAACTGGGGCAAAAATCTTAGTCCTAAAGTGTATGCCAGCCTTAAATTAAGTACTGACCAGAAAATAACTTGAAAATACATTCCAACCCTGTTTTAAAAACAATATTTTGCATTGTAGATTAACTGCAAATACAAAATTATCGCAATTTATAAAATAAACAAAAAAAACAACATAAAAGTATAAAAACGCATTTTATTTTGCTTGGAAAGACTCCAGATTTGACAAGCATACAGATCTATTGACGACTTTGTCAAAGGCAGGTGGTAATACAAGGAGAATCACTTTCAATCTAAAGAACAAACTTTTGTAAATACAGAGTACAAGATGTAAAAAAGAATATTGTAAATAGATGTAAAAGATCCATATATTTTGTCTGTTTTCCAGTAAGATACTGTCCATTTTAAAAGTGGATATCTGGTAAAGTTAATTTTAATCAACTTTCAGTG